AAAGCTAAGGATAACAAATGATACATTCGTTGGAAGAAGCGTAATTAAGATATTTTTTTTTTTACATTTATGTTTTTCTTTTGAGTATTAACAGTTATTTAACAAAAACTCAATGGAATGGAAAATTGGTGGATGCACTAGTCGCACTAATGCTCCAGTCATGCTATAAAAATTTTATTTTCCAAAATTTAGGGTATATCAGTTTTCTTCCCTTGCTAATATAATCGTAAAATCCGTCAAAAGTCAGATTCATCAACCCAAAACAAAGAAAGAGAAAATTGTACATTAAAATTTAATGTTGAGTTGTTTTATTTGTTGATCAATTTCCACTGTCAGCAAAAGTAAAAATTGCATTACATAAAGGAATTCTTCCTGTAGCGATATACCGGTCTTTGTCAGACAACCTCAGCTTTTGTCAAATTTTGCTGTTATAAATTTCATAAATTAGCTTCGTCTAGCACTTAGGGTGAAATAGTGTTGGTACGTTGAAAATAATCTGTAACAAATTGTATTTATTTTGGTTGTAGTAGCAGGTAGATAAAAGAATTATTATGAATGAAAATTCCGTACGGTATTCTCATATTTTACGTCTGTCATCTATTCATATTTTACAGCATTTTCGTGTAAAAGGGAACATCCATTTTTTAAGTATCATTAAAAAACTGCCACGGCTCGTCATACTTGTCACTTCGCTTTGCAACGAAGCAAAAAAGTTTGACTGCGACGCCTTCACGTCATGTAGCACAATTTGCAAAGCGAAATAAAAAATAACTACACTCTGTGCAGGTGTAAAGCGTTGTCCGGATGGCGACAGGTTCTCATGTTTCCCAACAGGTACTAATGATGTGCGCGATGTCTAAACCATTTATCAAACGTAGATGTATGTGTGCGTTAGCATATTTTGCCGATTTGGAGATATATAGCCTTCATTCGGATTTGAGCAGGTTCGACTATAAATCAGACTTAACTTTTCAAGTGAAATACGTCAACGGATAATGCAGCGTTCCGTAACCTGCTGAAATATAGCATTGTGACCCTTGCAGCAAACCATCATACGCTATAAACTGGTACGAATTGAATGTGATACGGTTCAATGCTATCTGCGACAACCACTTACGTTTGCATGCAATATAAATAAGCCGTGTTCCGACAAACTGTTGTTAGTGTCGTTGCATTGAGGTGAAAACTGAATGTAAATGGCAATGTAGGAACGGAAATTTAAGATCTTTTAAAAGCAATGTTGTTGTAATTTATACAAAAGTTTTAGACTAGATACGTAGACTGTAGAGCAAACCAGGATCGATAAGGCGGCACTCTTTGTAACGACGGCTACGTCGAGAGTCCGTCATAAATCAATAAATCACACATGCATAAACACACGCGCACATAAAGACTACACAAAAGAATTACGAGAAGCTTCGGGAAGTACTTTTCGAGAAAGCTCTAGAACATTCCAATTCCATTGACTACATAAATTCAGTGTGAGGTAAAGAAGCGATTGCATTATTGTTATGTAAAATAAATTACATGTATACAATACCTTTGAATGGGTATATAAATAAAATAAATTAAATGTAATAGCAAATGGATTGTGTCAAAATTTCCTTCCACTATTTGCTATTACGTTTTGCACATTATTCGTGGTTGTAAGAAAGAAATCCATTACATTCCGATAAATAGAACTAACTTGGGTTAACGTTCTCTCTATTCCGGCAGCTTCTATGAATTATAACAGAACCAAATTTCCGCGGGCAAATGGTCTAGAAAATCTGAACATGTCAGTTTCGTGTTCGCTGTCGCGAATATGAAATCAGGTCCTGCAGCGAAATATCATTATTCTGTCGGCATCGTAGTCTAATTCCGCTATAGCGCTACTCTATCTTACGTCAGAACTTCTATTTAAGCATTTAACAAGCAAAGTTAACGCGTTAACGCTTGTACCATATCTTTGGACTGCTGTTGACATATTACGACTCCAAATACTAGACAAAGGACGTTCGTGAGTGCACTTTATTCATTATTTCATAAATTATGTTGCAATTTACGTAATTTGTGCATTCTACAATGACGCAACATTATTCTTAATACTTACACTTATTCCTGAAAAAGTATTCTTCAGTCTATTTATATTTAGTGAAAAATTTCCAGGATCTTAATACAAATATTAGAAAAATATTATCTGATGCATTAATGTGGTAATGTATTGCATAAGAAAAAGTTGACTTTATAGTAGAATTCAGTGTTGAAATCAATCAATACTTCTGCGAATCACTTTTAAAGTGAAGTATCATCAGTTTTTAGTAGTCCACTTTTCAGGTCATTCCTCGTAATACCAAATCAGCAACCAATTTCTACTTGAAGGATTTTAATTCTCATAAAAAAGTCAGCGAACGCCACATTGCAAATGGCTTTAATTACTTGTGGTTATACGCTGCTAGTTTAGTGGTTGTAATTTTAAGCGAACATGATTGTAAAGGAAACAAAATACTGTTTGCTGACTTTGATAGCTTTTGCTGGGTATCAAAATGAAACCGTGCCACAAAAAGAATAGATAAGGGAATACTACATAAATTGAACGTTTTTGCTGATGTTGAAATTGTGAAACGAATTCGTCACAGTTGTGGATTATGGAAGTAATGTTTACAGCATTAGCTATTGGAAATGAAATATAAGATGCATTTATTTCCTTTTTTGCACACTGTCGCCGCTACTTTTTAATCTATACATCGAAGACGCAATTAACATTATTAAAGACAGTAGGTACAACTGTAGGGATAGATATACAGGGGCAAAAGATTAGTATGCTTAGATTTTCAGATGATATTGCAGTATTAGCATCTCGTAAGGAGGAGTTAGAAATAGCTTTAAATAAAATGGATGCGATACTGATAAAAGAGTACTGTATGGAAATAAATAAAAGTAAAACAAAAATTCTGGTATGCAAGCGAAGAAAAAGTAGGGAAAGAGCGAATATAAAGATAGGAGACGAAAAATTAGAAGAGGTGACCGATTTAAGCTATCAACGAAATCAAATAAGTCAGGACGGAAGAAGTAGTAGGGATATAAAGCAGAAAATTGCGCAGGGTCGAGTTGCCAAAAAGAAGTTACTTCTATGCTCGCGAATGGTTAATTTAGAAATTCGGAAATGGTTGTTAAAGGTGTATGTTTGGAGCGCGGCGCTCTACGCCTGCGAAACATGGACAGTGGGCGCAGCGGAAAAGAAAAGGTTAAAAAGCGTTCGAAATGTGGTGTTACAGGCAAATGATGAGGATACTGTGGATAGAGAAGGTTAAACATAAAGAGGTATTAGAAAGAATAGGAGAACAGAGGACTCTATGGAAGTCAATAAGAAATAAACGAGATAGGTTGATAGGACACCTTCTCAGGCACGAAGGTCTAATCAGAGACATATTAGAGGAGGAAACGGGAGTTAGGAGGGTAGAGGTAGACCTGCATTAGATTACTGTATGCAAATAGTTACGAACGTGGGTTGTTCTAGTTTTAGGGAAATGCGAAGATTAACTCAGGATAGGAAAGGGTGGAGGTACATATCCAACCAGTCTTAGGACTGACGACCCTATGATGATGATGAAAATGACCAAAAGCAAGTTATATTTACTATCCAATTTTAGAACCATTTTCTTCCTTTTTGATATTTATCGATTAGTAGAATATACCAGGTCGGAACTTTTCGTTCTTTGATTTTTTTCAAAACTTATAGTAACAGCCGAAACTTAAGTTTAATTTATTGATTTCCTTTTGACAGTTTACTCACCTTCGTATTTTAATAAACAGCAGTATCTACCTACCCGGTTGTATTTTTGGGTGGATGGATTTAGGAAACAAATTTAATCAATTATTGATCATATTTGTATTCGTGTCGCGTATGGGTCGAACAAAACTGGGTATACGTTCTCGGCACTGGAATTATTTATCAGGCTGGCTAAGGAATGCACCGTACATCGTGGAAACACACATGCATAATTCTGCAGGGATCGGAATTTATGCAACACGAAAGGGTTACCTAGTGTAACACAATTTACTTTTATACTGGAAAACTTATATTAGAGATTACTGTCTTTCATCCACTCATCTCAAATTTTCATTTAAATTTTTAATTTTTTATTTATTTTACTATCAAATAATAGTAGGTACCTTCAAAATATTGACAATAAACAAAATAATGTTGTTATTATTAAATAACATACGCTGCCGAACGAAATCATTACGAGGACGTACTAAAAAGGCCCTGGCTATGCCCCGAAAAAAAAAGGAGTTTTTCCGAGATAAAATATTTATTCAGTCTAATTCCGATTGAAATCAATACACTTTTGACAGCGTCATTTAAGCTTTTTTAGGTCATCAAACTTAAACTTTTAATTGCTTTCAAAACGGTGACAATTTAGGTGCCTTATTAAGATAGGAAATAGAATAAATTACCTCTTCTAGTTGGTCTGAATATTAGAATAATATTCTCCAGTAATACAAGTCCCGTTACAAAGGTGTTAGTGGATGTCATTATTATTTTGGACGATTTCTTGGGCGAGAAGATCTACTATCGCGTCATTCCTTTGAAAGTTCCTTGGTATCAAGATTATGAATATGATCATTATCGGTTACGTCCTCCATCACTAATCTAGTCACAAATCCTGAGGAAAAGTAACTTTCAATGCTTTGACTCTTTCCTTTTTCGGATTGCTACTAAAAAGTTCCGGAACCCATTTCGCTGAAAGCTTGGCTGTCCCTAAGGGTGTGGTATTAATATACCCAACTCGCTCTTTGGAGATGTCCCAGTGCGTATTCTAAGTAAATTTGACAACTTCGCAGGGTGATTTTTTCGAAAGTACAACCAGTATGNCAATCTATTAACTTATTTTTCGCTTTATAACATCATCAATAATTATTTAACAATAGCAATTTTAATCCAATAAAAGTCCATTTGGTTTCATAGCATTTTCCCATATAATGGGAACAAAAAAACTAAACCACATAAAGTCACATTAACGATGTCCACCTTTGCTAAATCCGAATTCTCTTCCGGAATGTTCTCCGCCTTTTTTGCCATAATCTTCAAAATGAGCATGGTGTTCTTCGTGTCCTTGTAGTCCTTTATGTCCCTTGTGGTCTTCGTCATAGTGGCTTTTAGCATGGTGTCCTTTCTTTCCGTGGTTGTCTTCGTGATGTCCGCTGTGATGACTGCCGCCCTTTTTGTGACCACCCTCCTTGCTGCCATGATGGGCATGATAGTCTCCATACTTGAAGTGTTTGCCTGCTTTGTGAAGTTCGTCATAAAATTTATGTTCTTTATGGTAATCATCTTTGTGGGCTTTGTGATGGAATCCTGTGGTTTTTTGTCCTTTCTTGTGACCCTTCTTTTCCCCGAATTTTCCGCCTTTGTGATAACCGCCCGCTTCATGGTGTTCACCATAATGACCGTCTTTATGATAATGACCTTTTGCATGTCCACCTTTTTCTCCGTGATGCCCAGCTTCGTGCTCATGTCCTAATTTTTAACGAAACACGTCAAAATTGAGATTTTGATTCTTGATTCTTGAAAAGTTAGCTAACAAGTATGCTCCTCCAAGTCAATAATCCTTGTAGATATAAAAAAATCATCAACAATATTACCTAAATATTTTTGTCTTTAAACGTAAATTTTCTTTTAAAAATGTACCTATACAATTTGTTCCTAATAAATTGATATTGACCTAGTTTGTCTCACAAAGATAAGAAAATCAATATAACCCTTTAGGGTTCGCTTAAAAAAATGTTAAGCATAGTAATTATTAAGAGTTATTGAGGGATTTCGAAACCCTTCAACCATGAGCATTATCAACCTGGTAATTCGTAAAAGATGAGATTGTCTGCACGCCAAACTGCTGATTATGACTCAATTACTAACCGCGGTGGTAATCAATGAAGAGGAAAAGAAAGGGACAGAGAATTGGTGGTTGCTTCTGGCGTAGGTCGTAGGCAGCTGTGATAAAAGGTCGAACATTGCTATTAAGCTAATGGTTCTTCGTAATTATTGCCAAGAAAAATGACAGTAACGCTTTTCCGAAAGTAGGCCAGGCGGACATTAAATTCACTTAGAAGCATTCAGCTACCCCTACGCATACATACATACTCGTTCTCCCTCAAATGTTAAATAGGAACCACGATTTACCTATATGCGTATATAAAAGTTTATAAAAGTAGATACATGTATAAGCCACTCGGTCGTAAATCATTCGTCACGAAATTAACAAAAGAAAAATACAATTTTTGAAGTAAAAAAGAATGTTATTACATTACCATAAATAATTACATACTTAATGTAGCTATACTCTGTTCACATTTAAGATACGCAGTATGTTAAATACGTAGTCCTTACTAGTCAATCTCGTATAAGACGCTGGACCATGTTTACGCATATCGAAACCTTCCAGGGTCGCATTTAGTCATTAAGTTTCTATTTTAAAAATATAAACCGTTTTCATGTGCTTTATTGCATTTTATAATATAAAGAATTTAGNCGTCCTAATGTTTCGCTAGCACGGAAGAACTTCTTCAAAGGCTTCCATCTCCCATGCTATGATATAGGTATATGATTTCTACTATTAGTTTAACTCTATAGATGGCGTTTGATTTATTTGCATGTGATATTTATGATCCTTTGGTAAAACATTACGCAACGACATTGCTCAGAAGTAATTTATTGCTTTCATTAGCTTTTATATTGTTGACATAATTTTCAAACTTCTTGCCCATTTATGACGCATTAAACTTGAACTTTTCTATTATGATACATTTCGGTCTACATTGGACAAAATTGGGCTTGTGAAAAATAAACCAGTTGCGAACTATTGTAATTTATGTATACCGACAACTGACCAACTAAAGTAGGTGTAGGTACTTTCCATTATTGGACACAACGTGAAGAAGTAAACGTCAATATTACGGTGCCGTGGCGGACGTAAATGGTTATGAGTGTGAACAGCGTGAGAATGACAATACGCCAAAACTCTTCTGCCGATGAATACTGACATTAACATTCAGAATTAGCCGTAATTTTGACAGGAATCGACCTCAAGGTAACACCACTTTTCTAATACCGTATAAGTTTCGATGATGCCCTTGTCCTCTTTTGATACTTTTCATTTATTTGTTTAACCTGGGGCGCACACAGAATTTTGTCTAAGAAAAAAGTCATTCAAAGATTTCAGTTTGGTGGAGTCTGAAGAAGAGATAAGTACTTTTAATTCTTTTATTTAGTCAGAGGCGCACACAAAATTTTTGTCTAAGGAAAAATTCACTTACAGATCTCTGTCTTTCTTTGTAATATTTAATAGACAACGTTGAATTTTTTGTCAATTGTTGAATGAATAAAGTCAATAAAGAGAATGAAAAGGAACATCATTAACAGACGGGCTGCAAAGTTCATAGAAAAAATTATTTTTTTGATAGAATTTGATTTTATTATTCAATATAGTTCCCTTCGAGGACGATACAACGATTATAGCGGTCATACAATTTTTCGATACCATTTTTATAATACGATTTGTCTTTAGCCTCAAAATAGGCTTCAGTTTCGGCGATTACCTCTTCATCGACGCGAAATTTCTGTCTAGCATCCTCTCGAGGTGTGAGAATAGAAAAAAGTCGCTGGGGGCCAGATCTGGAGAGTACGGTGGATGCGGAAGCAATACGAAGTCCAATACATGGAATTTTGCCATCGATTTCATTGATTTGTGACCAAATTCCATTTCTTCAAAGTAACAAAAGTTCTTTCACTAAAAATTCTATAACTCAGATACTAATAGTGCAACAGCTGTCAAATTTATACACGTGTCTTTTGAAGGTTAGGGCTAACTAAAAATCATATGGATTTNCTCTCTGAGTCTTTCAGCGTCTCTGAGAGCGTCTCTCACAGTCTTTCACAATCTCTCAATTATTGCCTAGGTGTTTTTATGGATCTCTCACAGTCACAGAATGAGAGACTCGAACGATAAAATTGTTAATTCAGAGATTCGAGTATGTCACAGAGAAACTGAATGAATAAAACTGCAAAATTGAAAGACTGGAGTCTCTTGTAGAAAGACTGGGATCTCTGAAATATGTTGAACTTAGACAATTTTAACCATGTCTATCAAGACACCACTTATTGAGAGATTCGAGTCTCTCGTTCAGAAATTCGAGTCTCTCGTTCAGAGACGCTAAACAGTTTTTTTGATAGTCTTTCGACAGTCTCTCTCAGCGACACCAGAGAGACTCGATGAGACACGGAGACTCGAGTCTCATTTTCAGAGACTCTGAGAGACTGAACATTTTTATCTCGGGTTGTTCAATTTCAATATTCAAAGATAAATTTCTATTTCTGTGTTGTATAATAAGTAACTCCTGCAAACTGGATTCCATTTTTGACGTTAACTAAAAGTGTCAAATTAAATTGTAATCACCGTTGTCAGCGTTAGCGCGTGTGTACTCGCGCATAGTGGGTATAAATTTTCAATGACAGCTCGTCCATCTATACGAACACATATTGGTGTGCCGCGCTGCGAATGAGGTTGTTAACGAAGAGTTGGGCTTATATGCAGAGACCATTAGGAAGCCTCAGCATCAAACGATGACCTCCGCATGTATGTCATTTCCCAGTGGACGAAGCGACCGAGAGAGCGTCGCGACGCGACAAGGGCATGGCCCGTTGCAGACACATCTTTCTTAAATTAATAATCAACCTCCGTCAGTTACTCTCCCAACCACCATCGGCTCCAGTTCCAAACAGTCGTTCGTCGAATTAACCGTACAACACTACCTATTATACAATGACGTTATGTATACATGAGTTACGAGTGGTTTGCGGAAATTGCTGCGAACTGAGATGAATAAGCAGGCTCATGCTACGTAGATATCCTTCTAAAAGGGTTCCAAGGATATGATGCTACTTTACGAACTAAAATAATTGTGATCCTCTCTCGGAGGAAATGGAGCAATCCAAATGTCGGCTACAAAACTTTAAACTATAAACATTTACTTGAAGTAAATGGTAGACGGAAGATGTGTGGTATTTGCCAAAGATGCTCTAACAATTACAATTAATCACTTCTCGCTCCTTCTGTGTTATGTATAAATTAGATTGTATCATGAGTTTTGTAGCTTCGCAATCAAATGGCAAAACTAGTCAAATGCGAATCGGAAAAACCTAATATACAACCATTATACGTATAGATACATATGTATGTATAACAAAGAACAGGTTCTTTTTTGCGAATCTAATACTAAATTTTCGCGTCATATTTCGTGTTGTTGTTCTACAAAACGAATGTGTTCGTTTCAGCGGTCATACTATTCTAGTATAAAATTTGTAACCTGAGCTTAAAAGCTCGAAACAAAAGCCGTTTTTGATTCTTTTGTTACCATTAATAAAGGCAACCGTTTTATAGCGCGACTTTTTAGACTTGTGTGAATAGGCGTGCGGTTTTTTTGAAACCCTGTCGTTTGTTAAGGCAATCAGTTTCACGCGTCCATTCGCATTGGTAACGCAACATTGAGAATGTTCTGTTGTGATGGCGTTTGTTGTCACGGTCCAATGACAAGATTATGAATATGATCATTATCGGTTACGTCCTCCATCACTAATCTAGTCACAAATCCCGAGGAAAAGTAACTTTGAATGCTTTGACTCTTTCCTTTTTCGGATTGCTACTAAAAAGTTCCGGAACCCATTTCGCTGAAAGCTTGGCTGTCCCTAAGGGTGTGGTATTAATATACCCAACTCGCTCTTTGGAGATGTCCCAGTGCGTATTCTAAGTAAATTTGACAACTTCGCAGGGTGATTTTTTCGAAAGTACAACCAGTATGAAGATAGAGCGGCTTGTGTAACCTAAGCTAACCTAACTGTAGTTATCAATTATCTATACCTACTGTCCCACGAAATGGTACAGACACGCTAATATTTGGGACTGTTGCCCTCCCGAAATTAGTAGAACTTGTGCTTGACAATAGTGGAAATGTTATTCCCGCGGGGGCTAACTTGCGTTAGCAAATGAACATTTTTTCAACTGCGCAAACCCTGATCTCAGTTGCGCCTTGAATACGACTTGAGATGTCCAAGTATCTGGGCAAACTTTTTGGCCAACATTCGACGCTCCTCAAGAATCAGCTTATAGACGGCATCGGATGTTTGCTGTGATTAGTTAGTTGTGATTAGATATGTCACCAAGCATACCATACACATGCCTCGTAATATGGTACACGGAGAAAATGAGAAACGAAAATTTACCTAAATATTAAAGCGATATTCACAATTTATTCCACCAGCCTGTTCTTCATAAGCGAAACTAATAAAAATTACAATTTGGGCCCGACTTTGTAAAAATTAAATCCCAACAGAAATACATAATTTAGTAGGTATTTTAGTTGATATTACAAATTAAATTGTAACAATTAAGGAACTTGAAATAATTTTTGAAGAAACATGTCAAAATTGAGATTATTACAAGTTACCTAATAAATTCTACTATT